TATTTTCTCGTTTTTAAGGGCAAAGCTGCATGATGGGCCATTTACTCTCTGCCCACCATAGGGATCGAACCCTGAAATTGGAGCGATACACACTTTCAAGGTCACCGCTGATCCATCAAAAGGGGCACGAATTTTACTAGAATAACGTAAAATGTATATGTATTTTTTCCTAGTACAAGAGTTTTAGCACTATATAGTATATAATGCGTCACGGTCTTTAACGGGTTAAAGCAAAGTCGGTATTGTATATTAATGTATATTACGGGTTTTATTGGATTACAGTAAAGCATGTATCACAGTTTTAGCTGAGTAAATGTGGATATGAATCATTAAGTTTACTATTTAAAAACATGTAGCGTCTAAGGTGTTTTTGCACACTTTTTATTTTTCAACGCCTACTAAATTACATAAACAAGGAACATTTGCAAGGTTATTTATTTAATTATTTTCTCTGTCTCTTTTTGACGAACATATATGTAATTATAGTGATTGCTTCATTAGAATACCCCATTCGCTTGAATATATAAAATGAGCTGATCACATGGTGTATTAAGTGACTGATTAAGCCATAATATGCAGAAATATTTTATATCATAATTTCTCTGCAAGACAATTAGTAAAGAACAAGGCATTACAGTAAGTGCTCTTCTATTGGCAATTTTGTTTTATCGAAGGTCGCTTCTTTGATGGTGTCCTCAAAGGCATTTATCATCAAAATGTATTAACAGTGATAATTGAAATGGGAATTATATGCTAATAGGAGAAACTGTGGGCATCCTTCATAGATGAAATATAGAGGGAAAGACGACTGATGCATTTTTGTAAAACGTAAGTGACTTCGGACAGGGTCCAGTTAACAGACCGATCGTTTCCAAAAGTGGTGAGTATTCGACAATCTTCACCAAAACCGCTTATCTAAGATGCAAACATAAAAATGAACGATTGGAAGGATTTGATGTGGTCTAATGACGGTGGAGTAAATATATGATTAAAGTCATTGAGACACTTGACTCTGCTTAGGTCTTCTGTTGAAGGAGGTGTGAGTGATGTGAAGAACTTTTTGTTAGATAATTTGAGTTATTTTATTCCTATAGAAGGACAAATAACAAGCAGAGTGTATGTGATCGTTAATTACGACAACGTTCACTTCACAACACTAAATGTTCACTTTGATGGACAAGAACTCAACCAGGACTATATTGCATAATTTATGAAGCTCGTATAAAGGGGGGGGGGGTTCGTTCAGCTTCTGTTGGAAGCATAATCACCGAATCTTATCACTCTTAGGCATATTTGTGATGAGCTTGAATGTCACATTTTTTACTAAACAATGACAGACCATACTACTCGACAAATAGGCTAAAATCTAGCAATATATAAACTTTATAGCATCTTATGGAGATTATACAACTCCAACTACAGGATTTTATTATGGCAAAAGTTAACCCAACCCAACATTATGTAAGAATCATAATAAAGTGGCCAGTTAATGCATGATACGTTTCATGCTCTTAAATTTAACAGTGGTGTATATTAAGTTAGATATTTTCACGCATATTTAATGATTAAAATGAGAGTAGATAAAATGAATATAGATTTTTACAATGTTTTCTCTATTGAAATGTTTTATACAGTAAGAATAATAAACAGCGCTAAGCCTTTGTGTAAACAACAATATATTTTTAATATAATGATCTTCCTTTTTCCCTGAGATATAGAACCTTGAATTTGCCATAAAAGATGCAACAAGTAAGATTTCATCAACACCATTTATATGATGCAAAATCACACGACTGAATAAAGTATTGATACACAAAGTGGACGATCGTAATGCCTCTTTAGAATGGCGTAAGATGTTTATGCTTTCAAAACATCAACGTTTTTAGGCCTAACACTTATGATAATACGTAACATTAGACTATAGATGTTTTAATTTTTCAAATCCTTTAGTCATTCCATTAAGGGTTACAAACTAGCGTGTATACGTTTAATATTTTTAATTATATATTTTTTTGTACCACAGGTAACTCGCTATCTACAGAACTTTTCATTTATACCAGAATTTATCAGGCGGCTTAAACCCGTAACAACCAGATCTATCTGAAATGATATTTATATGCAGTACCTAAACCTGACGAACCGTGAACTCTTTCTAAAGGTGTAGAATGGAAAATCACGTTAGAGCAGAATTTTTAATTTTTATTCTTATGTTTCTTAGTGAATCCATTATTCCTTTAATCCGCACTCTGACGTGATGTTTAAGGATATTTCTTAAGAGTAGAAAATTCTTATATTATATTTTGATTTCTTATTTATATCTACCTATTCATATATTTGCTTTAAAAACTTATACATTTCCTTAAACTTAATGCTTCAAATGTCGAAATTAGGCAACCAATCAAATTTGCGGTCAAAAGAAATCAGCCTTTTTCTTTTTTTTATTATGAGTTTTTTGATTCAATGTAATGTAGAATCGATTTATATCATCTGACAGTTATTCGCAGTTGAAAATCTTGCTTCACAATATATTCTTTTATAACCAGGTTCAATGTATATGCATATATATTCCTTTACTCAGCCACATAAATAAGTCATTTGATCTTAAATAAATATATATTATATTAATTTAAACTTAACCTGTATGAAATGAATTTACAAAAATGTTATCCCAAATGATGAGTGCCTTTTCACTTCAGGATTAGAAAGTTCGACATTATCTAGATTGCCCAAGTAAGTACTAAAAACAGCGTTATTTGTTTACATTGATATAACTAGTAAGCTTTTTATTGTCCCACAAATATTTGTTATTATATGGAATTTCACTCTGTACAATAAACTACTCTTAAACTTAAAAACTAAAATCGTATTTCAGCAGTTTGTTTCTTATTAAGGTTACTTGCTATCGAAAAATATACATATTAAAGAAAACGTTTATACTTACCTGAATGTATTTTATGTATATTTCTTTTATAATATTTAATCAACTACTGAGAAAATGTTTATTAGAGATAATTAGATTGTAAGACATGTGCAGAAGAAAAAAATGAATATTAATCATTAAGAATTCCATTATATTTCAATTACTACAAGTTCTGCAGAAATGTTATCAAAGTTGATAGGTAAGCTATATATACATTGTGATACATTTGCAAGATTAATCCCCAGTGTATTTGTTTTGTTACGTGTCATAATGTTATGATTCAAATATTAACATTAAACTTGCACTCCAAACATTCGAACGAAAATAATTAGTATGTTAAATATGAACCACATGTTGGGACCAAACGTAAACAGTTAATTTAATGTGATTAACCTACTAAGGAATGGTATTCCCTCTAGGGAGAATGTATTATTTCTCATCCTCTTGTGTTAATTAAGACTGAATTATGCACCGTATTCTATGTTCCTCTTGGCGTGGGAGGGATTTCATTTGATTGGTAATATGATTACAATCAGAAACATCAAACACGTTATCTAAAACTTGTAGGAATAGTACCTACTATTGCATGTAAGGTGTACTGTATTATAACCTTTGATGTGACATGAACGTAAATTCATAGATACATTTTCAAAATGTAAATGGTACCGGTACTAATAAATTCCCCATCAATGTATTAACCTACATATCACAGTACAGTGATACTCAGTTTATTCTACTTTTCCAAGGATAGCACAAAAGAGAATCATACCAAACAATTTACCCCGTTGAACGGGATATGACTGATTTTTCACACCTCAACATTTTTTGTTTTTGCTTTAAGAAATACAGTGGTATTTTATTAACTGTTTTATTGTAGCTTTTGATAAAAAAGAACACAATTCTTTTAAGTATCAAAAATATTTACTCTAAAAAAGTTTATACATTATAGTAATAAACACATCGAACTCCTCCCCTATATAAACTTTTTTATATACGCTTCCCGGAAGCTCTATTTCGTTTTAAAGAGAACCAGAATTTCGTGATTTTTTGTGAAGAAAATAATACTTTTCTTAATATTGTATAAATTACAATAATATATTGTATATTATCATAGTTTTTACAGTAATAATGTGTCATTCTCGACGCTTTTTTTAAGAAAATATATTGTATAAAATTCAATTCAATAAAACCAGTTGCTTAATTTATTCATTACTGACTAACTTAGAACAAGCAGTGATGTTATAATGTGAAGATGTTTTGATTATTTACCAGAGTTATTACATGGAAAATATAATTTATGGCTTTCTAATCTTATCTGTAAGAGAAGCCCCCCCCAGTAGCACAGCGGTATGTCTGCGGACTTACAACGCTAGAAACCGAGTTTCGATACAAACTTTCGCTTAACTACAAATAAACCGTAAGAGAATATGATACGAGAAAAATAACTTGAGTATATATATTAAATGACCAATACAAACGTAAAAGCTAAACAAAGGAAATAGAATAACTATAGACTGCTTTACCTTAATTATAACACAGAAGCAAAGTAAGCCCTATAAATGTTTTTAAAAATCAGAAAGTTTCTATTGGGATGATCAATAAGTAAATAAACAACTGTACATATTTGTAAACGATAAGGACAGTGAATTATAACATTATTTAAATAAAATAGACATATATCTTAGCATCTCGGGCATCTTATGAGATACAGTACGAGTCGCTTTGGCTTCAGAAAAATCGCATAACGAGAATTTATACATAGGTGATAATTAACACCGATAAATTACTAGGCACTAAAATAAAACTAATGTAGTGTTCTTTTAAAATTTTATGGAAACTGTTAACATGTTAAAATACTTACTTTCAAAATTAATTTAAAGCTTTGCACAATTTACAAGAAAATTACTACACATAGTAAGATTGACACATTTTATGCATAAGACTAAATCTACATACTAAACGTATTTTTGTTGTTCAAAATATTTGAATTTTAAATAACTTTAAATACTCAGCGAAATACACGTTTGTTATTTAACTGTATAATTGTAATCTTAGTACTAAACGTCTTGTTCTCTAACAGGTTGTTAAAATGCTTGCTGTAATTGTTGCTGTCTTTGCTACTCTGTGGTTGCCGTACAGAGTCCTGGTGGTCTACAACTCTTTTGCCAAGCAGCGTTATATGGAGCCGTGGTTTTTGATGTTCTGTAAGACCATGATTTTCATCAACAGTGCTATTAATCCCATTCTGTACAACGCCATGTCTGTCAAGTTCCGGCGAGCCTTTGCAAGAATGCTGTCTTGTAACCAGAGAGACCAAGGATTTCGAGGTCCATATGGTAGCGTTGCTGGATCTGTTCGATTTAATCCTAGTATCCTGACGACTACTGTGAGCAGAACAGAATCTTACAGGATGGAGCAGTTGCAGCATCTTTAACTGTCTGAAAAATGCAAGTTGTGGAGGTGGTACTATTTGAAAACGTTTCTTGGCTTAAAAAAATCAATTTTTTTAAGGTTTATTTTCATCAGTGCAGTTTTGGAGCATCTGACACAAAACTATATTTTATGGTTTTAGTGAAAAGAAAATTATATGAGATGTGGGCTAATGAGGCATCTAAAAATTAGATGGTGTGACAATTGTATTTTACTAGAAACTCAAGAAGCAAGACTAAGGCCTCGTAATTATCATATAATGTGTATCGTGTTTTTAAAATTTTATCTTCCTTCTCACAGTAGCATGATATGTTACAATATTGCTACGCAGTATTTATAGTTAAAAATACTTTGCTACAAGTAATAGTTCATTTGTCCAGTTTTTAATGAGGGCAAATATAATGGAAAATGTACTCATTGCACAGCTTGTTTCATTACCTTCTTGTACTAAACTGGTTTAGAAGTATACTATCCTTGTAGAAGACAAAGTAAAATGCATTAAAAGTTAGTAAGAGCATAATTCAGTATTCTCTCCATCTGTTTATTGAGATTTTTTTTAAAAAGTTAGTTTTTTAGAACGTGCAAACACAGATATTTACACATTGACATATATTATGTAGAATATTAACTATAAATGCGTAATGGGTGCATTACAACATTAAGCTCATTAGAACGAATAACACATTAGGCTAGCTTTTGGGTTAATATCGAAGTTTGTTTAATCTTACACTTACCTAAATCAACTTAAACTTAGAAATATCCGTAATGTTTAAACAAAAATCAATAGGTCATTCTGGCTTTTGCCATTTTTGTTTGAAAGCAATATTTGACTCGAATATTTTAACAAGTCTCATTCAATGAACAAAGTTGTTAAACAGAGAACTACTATAGATAATTTAATTAACTAGAATGGTTCCAGGCTTAAATTGTGAGACTTGAATAACATTATTGTTGTTAATTCATGTAAGGCATTTCCTTGAATCCCTTAATAATTCTGTAAAGTTCTGCTTGGTAGCGTTCTGTGATTTTTGTTTTTAAGCTTTATTTTCGCTTGCTAAATGTAATTGATTTTTAAAAGGATCTTATTTATAGCATATGATTCGAATCAAGTGGATGTTCTGTCTATAGTACTTTAAATTAAATGTTCAATAAAAGTTCTAAGCAGTATCAATGCATCATTGAATTTATGTATTAACGAACAAAAAGTATAGTCTCAGTTTTTATAAAGAATAAGGGTGACTTATTGATTTTAAAATAGCAATTTCTAGTTCTAGAAAAGATAGTTGGATTGTATTTGTCGGTTATATGAAGCCATTAACGGGCTTGTAATGATACCTTCATAAAATACTGAACTTGTTGATATTTGTGTATTGAAATTTTAGCCGTACGTGTACTGTAAACAATAAATACATTTTGTAAATTTGTTATATTCGGTGATTTATGTTTTCATGTATTATTTGTCATTTATGTTTTTCAAGTTTCATTTAATAACACAATTATTCGATATGCATATAAAAGGGATTCATAGAAGAATTTGTAAAATATACAATTAGATATTATATATTTCCTTCATTATCTGCGTAATCATTGATTCTGTAAATTAATTTAAGAATCCTAATGATAAAACTTCTACAGTTGCGCCATGCTTTTAAAGGGGAGAGCTCATTTATAACGTATCCTAGCCAAGTTTGTACCTGCACTGATATTGATCAGTGTTGTAATAGATTGCGTACATGCACATGCGCTGATGAAAGTTTCAAAACTTCCAGTGTAATTGCTTTATATGATTCAAACCATTTGCAACACTTACATTCGTTTGTGGTCGGAAATATTTCGCAACAGTTGTACTTGCACCAATTGAGGCCGGAACAAAGTGCATTTTCACACTACTTAATATTTTCAGCAGCGTTTTCACGTTTTCCTATCGCCAACCCTTCGTCCCCAATGTGTTCGGATTCCCATTGGCATACTAGTTGGAATGTACACCCAGTGTTAAAATGGAAAATAATTACCATTATTATTTTGAACGAAGGCATTTTTAATATTTGTTTATTACAATTTTAGTCCGTACAGTGAGGTTAGAAATACGACATTGCATGTAGCGACATCTTTTTGATATTTTCTAGTTACGATAATTAAATACCCAGCATGGTGTTCCCCATAACAGAGCAAATGTCGCTAGTGAAACTTCTAGTTGCTTATAGTCATAGGACATACCTTAATATGAAATCACAAACAATTATGTTGTGCTTCGATTGTAATTAGAAAAAGTATTATGTTCCCTTTCAATAGTAAAAGGCATAAGTTTAATAATAAGTTTAAATAAATAAAACAATATATTTCAAATTTTCTGCTCAATGAATGTTATTGACTTGTGTTCAGCAATTTTTCTGTTAATGTTATCAAATAGCTATGACCTATTCTCTAATATTTCTATCGTGAGCCTGGTAATTATTCACTTTAAGAACTTTCAAGTGGTATTAACTAATCGTAGAGTTACTATGATGTTTTGTGTAAGTATGAGATGTATTTAATGTGTATATGTTTATTGTTATATTATGATAATAAGAAAGCATTTTTCCTAATCAGTATTGTGTTATAGGTAGTACAATGTGTAAAAACGTGAGAGTGCCTTGTTTGTTAAACGTTCCGGTTGCACTGTTGAGTAAAAATATTGTATCTGTATGCATATATATATATGTGTGTGTGTGTGAGTGGAATCTTCTCCTTTGGGTTCTCTGCACATGTTATTAATAAAAAAATAATATAAAAGCTAGAGTTTAGCCTATTTAATTTAGTCAACTACAATTACATGAAGTTAAATCAGTCACACGAAAGACATTCGATTGGCAAGAACTTACAGAGATTGAGTACTTATATTATAACGATTTTGCATCCTCACTACATCATTACAGTTTATCTATTCGCTACGAACGGTCATAGTCTATCTAACGAATGCGAATCTTAATAAAGTAGCGCTGTATTGTTCTTTTCAATTGGGAAAGGCTCCGTCGTAAAACAGTCATGTCTGAAGCACATCACTGTTCACGGTTTGTATTCCACAATCCATCTAGTGTCCTATCGCACAGAAATCCAGTGACTTGACGGGTATATCTTGGAATGTAATACCACGAATACCCATTTAATTCTCTATCCGCACAAAATGCAGTGGTTAAGCTGTTAAGTTGTGTAGCTATTTGTGTACACTTGATACGTGTCGCTTTTTTAGACGGAGGTCCTTGATTATATATATGTTGCATAATGTTGCTTGCTTGGGCATGCCAACGTTTTTTTTTCTCTACTGACCTTTCTGTTCATGAATTCTCATTTGTTAGAAGACGCCCACTCTGCTCTGCCCACTATGGTTGAGGTACAACCTTTTTCAGGTTTTTTTCTGAATGGGCCTGGTGACCCATGTTAATCCATATTTCTTTGTTTTCTAATGCCATTAAGTGCAAGGAAAATCCTCGTCTCTGAAATCCTAAATCTCTGGTGTGAACACACCTTTATGGCCTAAGTGTATAAATATTTTGCGTCGAAAAAGACTGTTACATACCCACCCAAAAAGTGATCAGCTTATAAAGGCATCACATTACCTATAAAGTGCCACACAATGCCAAAATGTAGTTCTGGTACATTCTATTCCATCGCGACATTATATCACCTGTGATTGTCACATGACTTGCTGATTTGTTATCTAATATCGTTTTTATATAACTTACTCAACCTTCTGCATAAACTATATATTAAGATAAGCGTTTGGACAAAAATATTTACCTACAGTCAGAAAAAAAAGTAAAAAGACATAAGCACTTTGATCGAGATCATAATATAAGTAGGAATATATACCGAGGTAATTTTATATTACCATATAGCAGAGGAAGCCTCAGCTATAATGATAACTCATTGATTCAACTAACTCAAGTATAAAATATCGTTCTTGCGTAGTAGTTTGAATTAGCATTATGTTTTATCAACGACAAGTAAGAATGACATGAAACAGAATAACCACAATAAAGTAAAAATTTCGTTATTTGTTATAATATTGTTGCATTTTCTATGAAAAGGAAATGTACAAAGATACCTTCAATAAAATATTTTTTCATGGAGCTTTTAAGTTTGTTTAGTTCCGAAGATGGTGAAACATGGATTATTCATGTGTTACTGTCATATCTTTCTTTTAATAGCTCGTTTTGTAGTTAATTGATTCGGAATGACTGTGATCCAATTGCTGTATAACCTATATTTCACATGAGATATATAGTATAAAAGATGTGTTTACAATTAACTGACAACAAATTTTTCAAACAAAAATATCTAGTTAACTCTGTACTGGTCTAACACATTATATGTGTTAAGGACAGTCGATAAACTTATTTTACATTTCAAGACTCGTACGAGACAACATTGAACTACAGCTAACTGGTTACAGAAGTAAAAAACAACCTTATATTGGTTTAATGCCCCTAAACTCTGTTATTCGTCTACGTGGTAATTTTATCAATCACCATGGATTCCTTTGATAGCGTTCATGATCGTATTACATTTAATCAATAGAAGAGGCTCTCTGATAATAAAGACAGAAACATCACCAAAAAGCAAGCTCTAGATCTATTATTTATTCCTTGAGTACGAAGAGAGTCTGTAAATTAAAGATATCGCTCGTTAAAAAAAAAGAAAGGTGTTTTTAATGGTAGTAAAAGTAATGAAGTAATATGACATTACAGTAAAAAAGATGAAAATTCTTAAAGCAAGGCAAGAAAAATTCGAACGAAAATGAACGGCTTATAGTATGAGAATTTAATCTATCATTTACTATTTCTACAGATTTGCTATAATTTAACAGAGGATATTGAGTTTTTATGTTTATAATAGTGAAATTAAAAACAGAAAACGACGTCTAAAATTAGTTAGCAAATGGTAATGCATATACTTAGTATCAAGCTGAAAGCACCCATGGAGTCCCAACAGTCGTAAATGGCCTCGGGACTAAACTAAACAAATATGAAATAATATGTAATGTTAATAATTAATGTAAAAATTACACACATCTGTCATATGTTCATTCCTTTTCTGCTGGCAGGATTTAATTTAAGAGAATAATAAATGTGATTCCTGTAGAAACAATGTCAAAGATACCCGGTAAGTCTGTTTCGTTAGAGGATCAAATAAATTGTTTTACTAAATTATTAAATATTTTGTTACCTTCAAGGGTTGAAAATGCATAACTGCTTAGTTTTCAGAAACCTTTGGGTTAGTGCATTGTTGCGTATTACAATTTATCCAGACGAGCCTCGAATTTATTACGTAACGTATTATAATTTCGAATATCCTGAAACACAATTAAATGATAATTTATATTTAGAAATTAAATAAATGTCGACATGTATCCAATTTATGACACTTGCCAACAAGATTGATACACACAGTTTTTAAATAAAAATACATTTTAATATACAAACAATAACATAATTTACAATGACGGTTATTACAAATAATGATCTATGTACAGAAGTTTTACAAACTTACAAACAATATTCAGTCCTCTATCTGGTCTGGAAATCCCTTGATATCTTATCGACTGTTCACGATGATCGAATTAATTTTGAGTAGATGTAGATACAATTCACTTAACATGGAGCTAGCTAGCTCTGTTCTTCGTCCTTCGCTGTCCACAAAAAATACTAATGTTCAATGTGAATTCGCTGAAGTTAAATGATTTGTAATATTTGAAATCTATAAACGTCCCTGATCAAATATCTGAAGTTCCCGATTAATAAGCGTTATAACAATCACAGTTATAGCTTCCAAAGTTTATAGCACACCAACTATAGCAAACCAGTTACATATAGTGTCTTTTGACGCATCACGTTGGTTATATTTATAGCCATGGAGTGAGTGTTTCGGAATTTCAACAATATAAACGATACACCAGTGTATATTGTTGATTCTTACAATTTTAGTAAATAGGTGGGAATTTCGCAATACAGATTTAACAGTATAAGTTATGTACATTTCTAAATATATATTTAACTCAAACAAACATCGATATTAAAATAGATGTTAAATATGTATTGGGAAACTCCCGACTATTATCCAAAGATGTAGATGATTCTCGAGAGAAAGAATCAACAATATATGTATGTACGTAAACGCTTAAATGTAGCTCAGTACTGTTACGTAAAACTGAAATTTCTAGAAGGCCTCCACACACCTATAAATATAACCAACGCGATGCACCAGAAAGAGAGTATCTATTATTAGTTTGCTATAGTCAGTGTGCTATAAACTTCGAAAGCTATAATTGTGATTGTTATAACGCTTATCAATAGGAAAACTTCAGATATTTGACCAGGAGAAGTTACAAAGTTCGAACATTACAAATCATTTAACTTCATTGGATTCATATCAGACATTTGTACCTTTAT